ACTTTACATCATCAATTCAAAAGCACATGCTTTAGATGAGGACCAAACACAAACACAAAGTGGCATGAATTCCAATGAGAAATTAGGCATTGAGCCAAATTCATTAACCAGAATTCTGACAAAATCTAAGAACAGAAACCTTTTCACTAATACAAATTTGGATTGGTTCCAGGAATTTCATGAGAAAAGCTACAACCTGTCTAAAAGCTAGACAGTTCATGTCAATGATGCAGAAAGCTAAGCCTCCTTATCCTCCAAAGCCTTGAGTTCTTGCCTCCATTCCTCCAACTTAGAGAATTTCTCCAATTGCTCAGGCTTTAGGTCTCGTGGAGCAGTCTTTTGCTGTTGAGCTTCTGTTAGTCGAATCTGCCAATTGAAGAGGATTTATCAAAAACCATTTGGAACAAAAACATGTTACTACGGTTTGCCAGCCACGAAGGAGTTTAGAGGGTGAATATCATATCTTGCAGACAAAAGCAATCTCGAATGATTTATTCTTATTAAAGCAGCTGAGAAAGTTCGAAATCTTACTTTCTTCTTGAGTGCACGTATCCTTTTCTCAGTGTCTTCTCCTGCAGTTCCTGGATTAGGTGCTTCTCCAAGATCCGAAGTACGAGATGCTACATCATTATTTGAAGAAACGTTCACAGCCTCCAAACCAGAAACCAATACATTCACAGATTGGGATCCGTTGCTTGGAGTCACAATGGAAACAGCTTCTTCCTTGTCTAAATTACTAGCTGATCCATCCTCAGAGCTGTTACCTTTTTCTGCATTAGCCTGCAGATGTGATAATTTGGAAGCATGTTACAATCACGGAAAACCAAGCCAGTAGCATACGAAGCTTAACTAAGACTAGAGTTGAAACACATACCTGTAATCTCTTCTCTTTCTTACGTTCGTTCCTCTTAGCAGATTTAGTCTTTGGCTTAGGAGCTGGATCAGGGTCATAACCTGGAGGCCCTTGCGAGGCCATCTCCTTCTTCATCTATTGCAAAGAAAATGCAAATTACGAATAAAAGCTGTTTCTATCTTCCTTTTATGCCCTACTTCAATCCGTGATAGAAGCGCAAAAAATTGGAAAGAATTTGACTTGCGCACTCTAACAAAGGACATAAGGGTGGTACAGATAATGAAATCACGCTACTCACAACCAATGCTGAGTCAAATCAAATTCAAACAATTCATGTCCAGGAGAAACAACGAGTCCAATAACAGAATACAGTGTTGAGGGAATAAAGACTCCATACCAGAGAACCTTTGGACTGGTATTTGACAACTTCATCTTGTGGAACATATCCAGCTCGAATCCGGATGGGTTTCCGGAGAGTACCATCGGGTCTACGTGTGGGCTCCAGAATCCTCTCACCTTCTTTAAGGTTTTTGCTCAGTTCTGCCATCTGCTTTTTCGGTTCTCCGCTTCTATTGCTGCTTCCCATTTGATTCCTTCAGATTTTCAATCACCCTTGTCGCTTCTCTTCTTTCACAGCTATCAAGTCCACTGTTTTCTGTATCATATATGCATGGTTCATTAAAGAAATTCATGGACTTCAAAATTTACACAGAATACAAATCCAGTTTTGGTTTAACAGTTAGTTACAACAGTTTGTGAAAGAAGCTAAATGCACAACAGAATACAAATATGAAACGTTCTTCTCACACTTTCGAAGTACAAAACTTGTGGGCATAATAATTACATCCACACAATTTCCAAATGACAGGTTCTTAACCGCCAAACCGCATTACGCTCATCAGTAACTAACAAGGACAAACAAACCTCACTCAGTCACCCTCTACATTCCTAGTTCCCATAAATGATCATCAAAACCTTATTTTTCACAAGAAGCTGCAAGCATAAGCTACCACTCAAGAAAATCACCACATCAAACTTTCCAAACACTAGAATCTCATCACTCAATGGCTTCTTCAAACTCATGGAAACAAAAGTCCAAAACCAATCAATTACTCAGTTAAATAGTTCAACACTACTTTTAAACTCCTCTAAAATTTACCCATTAACCCACCTCGTACTTGTTTACAAAGAACAAAGTCCCAAGCTTTTTTTCCTGTATTATCATCAAAGTATAAATCTTTTGGTGACAATAATTCCTCTATTAATAACCACAATCCAAATCTTCAATACAGATCCTATAACCATACATACGGGAAAAAACTTTTCCGATTCAAAGTTTGACCACTCTTAAAGCTCAATTCAATTGCAGCCAGAGTTCTCTACGCCAAGGGAGAGAAAGAGAAGAAAGAGCGAAAAAAGGGAATTGACCT